CCAAATCGATCTAAATCAGATTTATATATTTGAATATATTAGTTATTTTTAGATGTAATAACGAAAAAGTATCAAAATATATAAGATATTTTGAGTTTGTCCAAATATATTTAAAATATATATACAAATAGTCAAAAGTAAGTATTTAAAGTAGTTAAACAATATTCAAAATATTGTCAATACTTAAAAGATCTATTAATTTTCCATCCAAATATCCAAGTTAAACCAAATTTTATGTTAAATTAAGATATTTTGGTATATACAAAATTTCTATGTTATATATCATTATTATTTTTTGAGATTTTTGAAATTTAAAATATATATGAATTTTACAATTTTTAAAATAATTTAAATATCTGAAACCGAACCGAACCCGTAAAAATCTGAACCGAGATTTATAAATACCTGATTGAGGCTGAGATCTCTAACCTTGAAAATCCCTAACCCGAATAAATGTGAACTAAATCCGAATGGATACCTAAACGTCCATCTCTAAGTAAAATGATATTTTATTAACAAAATTTTTGGTTATTTTCTTTTTTTTGAACTCATGCAGATAATTAATTATGTCTTATTTAAAGTGTATATTGTAATGCTAGGTTGAAACATTTATAGGTAAAAAATAAAACATGATTTTTATACAGATATTAGAATCTTAATAAAAAAAGAAGTAGACATAATATGTAAACCGTCGACTAATATCCTCTATATATTAAAGGAGAAGCATTACAACATTTTTTTGTAGCCACGTGTCATCACCACAATCATTCTTAAAATCCTTAGAAAAATATGTTGGTCAATCTAAATATATAATAAGTTTTTTTATTAAACTAATCATAAATGACTTATTTATGTTTTTCAATGTTTCCTTAAATATAAATAACGGAATTGCCAAATATGATTAAAGAATATATGACAATTACTGATTTTCAATAATAAAGATTTGATAAAAAATTAGTGTATTTTTGAAATTTAAACTTATTAAAATAAATTAAACAACTACATTTTACTATATAATAAAAATTTAGATTTTTTCGTATATGCTATACTTATGATTTTCTTAAAAATGACTATAAATGACTAAAGTTGTTACAAAATCTAACATTAAAATTTTTGTGATCCATGGTTAAATTTTTTTAATAACAAAATAGAAATGATTACAAAATTAGATAACTGAGAAGTCTCATTTAACACACATATATATATATATATATATATATTTCAAAATAAATTATGTTCATCCCCTATATATATTAAAAGAGAAACATTTGAAAAATTGTAACCTCAATTTTGTAATAATTAAAAAAGACCTCATGCGTAAGTGTCACTCAATTAAGTAGTCAATTACATTCAATTAAAAAATAAGTAGGTCCACATTCGATTTTTAGATGTCGTTAGATACATTCGTTGGTCAAACTATATGATATGATGATATGATATTTACGATAGAAACATTTATGATTGTTCTGCTATATATAATTACTATTTTTTTTCTTTAAACAAAACCTACGGAATTACCATAAATAACTAATATATATATGACAATTAATGATTCTAATAAGAAATATTTGATAACAATTTATATCTTATCCATATTTTTTTTAATTTTATAATATTAAAATAAATTAAACAATCAAATTAACTATAAAATTAAACTTTAAATTTTTTTGTATATTTTATATTTTGAATTAAAAAAACGAGAATAAATGACTAAAATATTAAAATTATTATGTCAAAATTAATGATCAAGGATTTAACATTTTTACTATAAAAAGATACACATGATTTTAAAACCATATGAGTAAAAAGTATCATTCAATAATAAATAAATATATAGATTAAATAAAATACCATATAAGATTACATAAATATTTTAATTTCAAAAATTTCAATGAATTTTTAAGAATATTTATAAATTATAAACTTATTAAATTTTTCACATTGAAAATTTTTGTTATCAATGATTTAAATATCTTAATTCTTTTTTTTTTAATTTTCTATTATTAAAAGATATTAAACAGTCGATAATATTGTTTTTTTGGTATATACCATACAAACCGAATGGATGTGATTTTATAAAAACCGTAGGATTTGGATATGGTTTGATTTATAACCGATTAAACTGAAACATGTAAATATGTATATATTTATAACGACGCATGAATATCTATTTGTTACATGAGTTGAGCTATAATTATAACTAGGTGATAACCCGTGCATATGCCTGGAGTGAAATTTATATATTAATAATCATTGCATACTAATTTTGATCGTTCAACTATAGTACATAACTTTGACCGTCAATAAAGGTTGATTTAGTAGGGTAATATTTGTTGATATTTTTGATTTCTAACCTATTTAAGTACATTGGACTTCAATATTATCGTCCGGATGTTAAAATTCACAATCTCACTTTGATATGGAAAATTGTATTTTTGAAATAATAAATAATTTTTGAGCGTCACGATTGCGCGGAATAAACACTAATTATGTATGCAAATCATTTATACATATTATTATTTATTTTATGTTCATTCACGTATTATGCAATAATAAGTATATTAAATAATTGAGAAGCAAGTAACTATTATGTATATAGTTAAACTGGAGTAAACATATAAATAAAAACCATCCCTCTTTGTATTTACAATATTGTTTTGTTTGTAAAAATTCAAAATAATTAATTATTTATTTTATATAAAATTAAATGATATTAACAAAATTATATAATATATATTAAAATAAATATTTATTAATTGAAGTTTGTACTCATATGATTTAACTAACATTTTTATATTTACTGTAACAAATATTATTTTTATTTATATGAATAATTATTAATCGATGCTTCTTACTCAAAGCAAATTTTGAAATTAACATGTTTATGTATTTTATATATATACTCTGCATATTTTTATGATTTTATGATCATTTGTATTTTGTTTTAACAAAAAGTTAAATCATTGATCACAAGAATTTCAATGTTGACTTTTAACAATTTCAGTAATTTATAATCGTTTAAAAAAATTCAAAATATAGCTATATAAGAAAACATCTTAAATTTTTAATATATTATTAATATGATTGTTTAATTTATTTTAAAAATGTAAAATTAAAAAAAAAGAATGGAGGATTGAAAATTGCTATCAAATCTTTATTAAGAAAATAATAGAGAATATTCTTTATACACTACCAATTAATTACATAGTTATTTTAATAAAAAAATATAATATATACTAAAGTAGACCAACTAAATTTTTTAAGGATTCTAAAAATCAACGTAGTGGTGACACGTGACTACCAAAAAAATGTTGTAATACTCCAGAATTAATATATAAGGGATTTGTAAATCACTTGAATCACTTGAACTATAACTAAGTAACAATTTACTGCAACTGAAACTTCTTATTTTCTTAGTCTTTTTTTTTTAATATTTTTGCTTTATTTTAACAGTAACTAAACTGAAGTAAATATTATAAATTTGATGAACAACAATTATTTGAAATTCTTTAAATCTTTTATTTTTATTTTTAAACAAGCAGAGCTGTGTTCAACGAAGACATATTAATTTGATGAACACTAAATATTGAAGAATATAAAAACTTTTCTTTCATGCTTCTTTTTTTTCATTTTTTTTTCAAAATTTAGAGTTTTGATATTAATTCTAGATTTGATCATTTTATTAGATGATATAAGCCTTTTTGTTTTTTTATTCTTTTATTTAAATATATAATATTTTTTTAATAAATGACTTTTTGACAATAAGACTCTAAAATTTGTATAAATATATTATATGATCTCAAACTAAATAATTATGTTTTTTGGTATAAAACTGAATAAACTGAAAAACCGAAATACTGAATCAAATCTAACCGAAGTAAACATGGATTTAGAATAGTATATTTTAATAACCAAAATACTAAAAAATCAAGCTGAACCGAAATCTGATATCCAGATTGAATACCCCTAATCCAAATGAAACCGAAAAATTGTTTCATTTTCTAAAACATAATAAAAATAAGAACTTCATCCCGCGCAAGACGCGGATCTTATCCTAGTATATATTTTATTTGCCAATACATCAAGTGCTAATATCATACGATTACCATTTGTCCTATTTACTATTTGTTATGTTATCAATGTATACATAACTGTCGACTAATAATGGAGAAGTGGATGATGTCAGAAATGTAACTGCTAGTGTTTGAGAAAAAAAAAAGTAGTTAATTTTTAAATAAATTTAGATGTAATTATAGTTATTTAACCATTATTATTGGACTACATATGTCAATCGGTCATGATCCACTTTTAATAGAATAGACTAGAGATTGACCCGTCCTCAAGAGGGCGGGTATATTTTTTATTTTAAATTTTTTTTGCTTCATATAATATGTTTGTATAATCATATTTGTGTATGATATCAATTTAATATAATAGATATTTTTTTGTCATATACGTTTGAGTATCATATTTTATTAGAAATTTACTTTTTTATATAAGTGTCATTCTTTGTAATCATATTTATGTTTTTATTTGTAATCATAATTATGTATTTACTTGCAATCATATTAATGCAAAATATTTTTTTTAATTATTAATAAGAATTGTGATATTTGTATTGAATTAATGATGTTGTATAACTATACACTTATGCTATAGCCATTTAACACATTAATTTTAAATTTTAATTGCATATTTTTAAACAACAAAATATCGTTTTAATTTTGTTTATTAATCAAGTAATAATTAATTATGCAAATTATAATACCACCTGATCACTTTGGTCCACTTGTTTGAACACATCTTCTTAGAAACTTGGTTTAGTTTGCATATTTTGGGAGGATGTATTAGAGTGTAGGTTGTAGGGGATTCAGTATATAAGGGATTTTCCGATAAAAGCTCATTAATTTTTTGGGTCTATAAACCCATTTTATATAACTTAATCCTATATATAGAAATTTATAAAAATTGTGCCCTAAAGAATACTATAGCAAATAAAGATGACCGGCGACAGGAAGATCAAAGAAGCTGTAGACAGGATCAGCAACTTACCAGATGAGATCCTCCAACAACACATACTCTGCTATATTCCGACCAAAGTATCCATCAGCACATCCATCTTGTCAAGACGATGGAGGCATGTATGGTGCAATATACCTTCTATCTCCTTAGATGTGGATACACTGACTGCCGCATCTGTAAACGAAACCCTAAATCGCTACACAGCTCTCAAGACGAAGAGTTTTCACCTCAAAACCACCAGGAGGAAGAACATTCCCCACGTTGACAGGTGGATCAGGTGCGCTATGTCACACAACGTTGAGAATCTTTCCCTGGAGTCCTGGTGATATTGTGGCGTATACGCTTCCTGATTTCTTCTACAACAGTTCTGTCAAACAAATCAACATTAAGTTAAGCTATTCTCATACGATTGTTCCTCTTGAGTGTACTGTGTCTTTGACATCGTTACAGAAGTTATCTTTGAGTTGTTGTACTCTCTTTGATGAATCCTTAGCTAAGATTCTATCAGGTTGTCCGGTTCTTGAAAACTTAACGTTGTATCACTGCGGCGAACTAAAGGTTCTTGATCTTACCAAATCAAAACGTCTGAGAACTTTACAAATAAGACGTCACGTGTCGGTGCCAGGGCCAACGCATATTGTGGCACCACACATCCATTGTCTAAGATTGCTAAACTCTCAATTATCATGCACTTTTGTTGATGTGGCTTCTTTAACCGAAGCTAAACTGGACATTTGTTATGTCCCAATGTTCTTTAACTTAAAGGCTGATTTTCTCCAAGTCATGGTGCTAAAGATGCTAGAAAAGTTGCAGAACGCAGAGACGCTTTCCTTTGGGGAAAACTTTATTCTGGTATATAATTAGTTTTTTGCTCATATTATTTTATTTTCTAATGCCTAATTAACAAGCAGTTAGTTTCACGGTCAGTGTTTAATACGTTTGATTATGTCATTAGCTCGTTACTAATCAATAATTCACTATCTTTTTGTTCTTTCTGTCAGATTTTATCTCTTGCTGAGATTCGTGGTGTTCCTTTCCCGATGCTCAAGGTCAAATCATTGACTCTTGATACAGATATCTCTCAGTATGTTATTCCTGGTATACAAAGACTGTTACAAAACTCACCTGATTTACAGAAGCTGACATTACGTGGAAGGACTTGCAACTCCATACCGGTATATTCATCATCAAACTCTTTTTTTTTCTAGCTATTGTCCAAGGACCCTCTTTGTATCTTATTTATGTTTGACAGGGGAAACATCTTGACAAATACTTGAATTCACAATCCTTGAATCCGGATCAATGCTGGAGATCAAAAGATGGTTTCTCTTGGAATAATTCTTGTTGGGATGTACAACCAAAGCATGTCACTTCATTCGTGGAACTTGTGCTTAAAAATACAAAGAAATTAGACAAGATGGTCGTACTGTTGTACAAAGATTTCCTTAAGTTTGAAATTGAAGACGTGGTGGTTCCAAAACTTTCTCACATCACCATTGTGCTCTCATCCACCAACATGCCGATGACATCAGAGGATTGGTTTGAATCATAGGGGTTGAAGTGTTGAGATTTATTGAACGTTTGCTTTTACTTTTCTGTTTCCAATAACTGGAGTACTTTATTATTTAATATAGTAGAAGAAGATTTTGGGTTGGTCACAAAAGAGAAGAGTTCTTTTGAGTATATTAAAACCTGATGTTCTCAAATATTGCTAGATTTAGCCTGGAATAATAATAATTCTATAATTACAAACAAACAACTGTAATGATAGTTCAATAAACGGAGGCTACCTCTCGAAATGACCACCATATTGAATGAGACTATATAGCACTTTTACAGGTTGAGGGCTGCTGGAATTACAAGAGACGTATATGAGGATTACAAGCTGCTGCTAGATGACGTTTATCTGGGGTTATCTCAAGCCTGTTCACATGCTAGCTCCATAGTAAAAAAAACGTCTCAGTCTGTGTTCCATACAGACAATAATCCCGACAAGAAAGCTTTAAGATGCAAGCAATCTCTAGAGCAGAGTGTCTCTATGTATGGAATGTTTAAATGTTTTATTGGATAGTTACTGGCATAATGCAAAATTTTCATGTATGGAATGTTTATATGTTTCTATAGCTGCGTATCTTTTCATGTATTAGATCATCAATCCTTTTATCAACACTAGTGTATGCTATATTATATTGCAAGTGTACAAAAATGTTGGTATTACAAAGTTTTTCTTAAAGGATCATTTCAGCTATTATGGTACCAATTTACAAAATTGGGAAGGTGGATCTTGTTATTCAAAATATATGTTACAATACACTCTGATCATTTTTTCCTACACTAGCTTAGAGCAAGTGCATCAAAGGATGTTAGAAGGAGTTCACACGCATCCCCCCAAAAAATATTATTTAAATCAACAGTGATGAACCCGCGTCGCACGAGGTCTCTAGGGTGATCCCGGGTCATTACTGTTTAGCGGGCCCACACCACGTGGCGGCCGCTATTGGTCAGTTTAATTTAAAAAAAAAAAATCAAACAAAAAAGTTAAAAAATAAAATAAAAAATTCAACTTGTGAATCTCAACCGGGAGTTCATTAATGCTGATGCTCTTAAATTGATCTTCTTAGAAACATGTTTTAGTATGAATATTCTGGGAGGATGGGCTAGAGTACTCTAGGTAGGTCCCTCAAGTCCCCACACGTTAATGGTATAAATTTGGTTATCTGGTTTTATCCATTCGAATGCAAACTAAATTCCATTAGGGCATGTTTATTGGAACTCTTAGAGTGGAGTTGTTAATTCATGATTTGACATGTATTTAATTTTTTTTTTTACATTTTTTGGTTAAGAATCGACTCTTAAACCATCATTATCAGTAGATTTTTAAGGAGGTTTTTTTTTAAAAAGTGATTGATTTAATTAAGTCAAAAATAAGTAAAAGAAGAAGGACCGATTCTTAGTTATGGATCTTTGAGATCGGTCCTTAAGTGCTACGTGTCACCTTAATGTATTTTCCCATTTAATCTTTTTTTAATTCCCTTTGATCTTTTTTTTTTTCCTTTCCTTTCCAATTTCTACTCAATTTGATGTTTTATAGTTCCAACAACGAGAAGACAACATAAATTCACATGTAGATAAACACATTAATAACTCAAAGCTGATTTCGTTGAACATTTATGGAGTAAATTTGGACGAGATGAAGACAACAACTGAGTTCAGATTATTTCTTTCAAATTATTCTTGTTTATTTTATTAATCTTTGTTTATTTTTAAAATCTATGTTGTAAATGTTATCTTTTAATATGTTTTTTAATTAAGAAATTTTATTAATATGTTTTACTTAATAAATAATTTTTTTAAGAACCCTTAATTAAGAAACTTCCATTGGACCGTTCAAAATGAGAGTTTTTTAACTATAGTTCTTAAGACCATTAAAGTCCATTTATATAATTAAATTATCATTAAGAACTCCAAATGGGTTTCATGGGATAACCATGCTCTTATATCTCTTATTTAATAGCCGGTTCTTGGGTTTTCTTAATTAAAAATTAAGAAATATATCTTAACTTAAACTAAGAACCCAAGAACTCCAAATAAACATGGCTTTAGTCTTTTGAGCCTAAGCCCATTATATAACTTAAAACATCCTATAAATAAAAGATGTACCCTTAAGAATATTATCGCAAATAAAGATGGCCGATCTGATCGAAGGAGCTGAAGACTTGATCAGCAATTTACCAGATGAGAGCCTCCAACATATGCTCTGCTTTATCCTGACCGAGCTGGCCATGTCTACATCCCTCTTGTCTAGACGATGGAGGCATGTGTGGTGCAGATACCTTCTCTCTCCTTAGGTGGTGATACATTGACTGCCCCTTCGGTAAACGAAACACTAACTCGCTACACAGCTCTCAAGATATTGGGATTAGGATAAATGTAAACTCCTATATCTAAGGGATTTAGGCTTATCATGTATTTCCTATTATACTTGGGGTTTACGCTAGTTATGTTGTATATATACCGATCTTGGTTGATGAATAAAGGACACACAATTACCTTACACAATATTATATGGTATCAGAGCTAAGATCTTAATTTATTTATTTTTTCTAATCAAAAACTTCGACGTTGAATACGTCTTTCTACTTCTACTTCTACTACTTCTTCTACCTATTCATCGATCAAGATCAAGATGTCTGATGAATCTTCTACCCATACAGCAACAGAAGCAACTACGCTTATACAAGGAGCTCCTCAGCAAGGCTCACCTTACTACCTTCATCCGTCCAACAACCCTGGCGCTCTTATCACATCAGTGCGACTTACACACGATAACTATCCAGAATGGTCAGCGGAGCTTCGCAATTCTTTACAGGCAAAACAAAAAGTAGGTTTTATAGACGGCACAATTACGAAACCAGCCGAGGATAGTCCCGACCTAGCATGGTGGCTTGCAGCAAATTCAATGATTGTTTGCTGGATTCGAACGTCTATTGATTCTAAAGTACGTTCAACTGTTACACACGTTCCTGATGCTCATAAACTTTGGGAAACATTACGTTTTCGTTTCTCAGTCAAGAACGGAACTCGCATTCATCAACTCCAGGATGCTATTACTAATTGCAAGCAAGATGGACAGTCGGTTCTTGAGTACTATGGTAGACTCACCAAGCTTTGGGAGGAACTCCAGAACCTAAAGTCATCTTGTACGTGTACTTGTACTGCAGCTGCAGACATTGAAAAAGAAAAAGAAGACGCCCGGGTTCATAAGTTCTTATTTGGACTGGATGATTCGCGTTTTCTTGCTATTAGTTCACGGATAACATACGAGGATCCGTTGCCAGACCTGAATATTGTTTATTCAAGGATTATCCGAGAAGAACAGAACATGGTCACAACTCATTCTAAAGAACAGAGATCCGATGCCCTAGGTTTTTCTGCAAAATCTGAGGGTTTCAAAGATCTCTCTCCTTCTACTACGGATTAAACACCACCGCGTTCCTGTGATCCTGCTCGTACCTGCACGCATTGTGGGAGGAAGGGTCACGATATTACAGAGTGCTTCCTTGTACATGGCTATCCTGAGTGGTTTCTGGAAAGACAAAATAATAATCCATCGGCTACTCGAGGTGGACGTGGAGGAAGGCTCAACACCAGCAGAGGGCGTGGTCGTGGACGTGCTAATGTAGCGCACACATCTACACAAATCAACTCCGATCAAATAGCTTCCCTAATCACATTGCTTCAGAATCAACAAAGCAACCTCTCGTCGGAACGTTTGTCTGGTAAAACTACACTTACTGATGTTATTATTGACACATGAGATTCTCACCATATGACGGGGGATCTATCACTACTTCATGATGTTCAGGACATCTCGACTTCCTCGGTTATGTGTCCTAATGGTCGTAATTCGCAAGCGACTAAACAAGGAACACTACGACTTAGCCAGGACTATTGTTTGACTGAAGTTTTATTTGTTCCCGACTTCAACTGCACTCTTATAAGTGTCTCTAAGTTACTCAAACAAACGAGATGCATAGCAATCTTTACTGATACTTTATGTGTTTTGCAGGACCGTTTTTCGAGGACTCTGATTGGAGCAGGTGAAGAACGTGAGGGGGTTTACTACTTTACTGGAGTCAAAGTTGCACGTGTCCATGGAGCTACAAAGTCGACATCATCTTCTTCAGTTCTATGGCATCGTCGTCTTGGGCATCCATCCTACAAAGTTTTATCTACTTTACCGGTGTTTAAGTCTCTTAATATGGATTTTTCTGATTCTAGCCAGTGTGATATTTGTTTTCGAGCTAAACAAACTCGAAAGGTGTTTCCTGATAGTCTTAATAAAGCTTCTG